ATAAGTCCTAGCACTACTGAATTTCTTTCAATGCCTTTAAATGGTTGCCTAATTATTTTTGTTAGCATGCAAGTACTACATTTTTCTAAATATATATCAAAAGTAGGAATCAACCCTTCTTTAGACATATTAATCATACGATTATAATGAACATGACCTAATCTAACATGCCATAGAAAACTATCATTTTTGCTAGAACTTGCCATACAAACAGAATTGATAACTTTAGTAACTTTATTAATATTAAGCATAAACATTCCATTACAGAAATATCCAAATCCAACAAACACACCACATTTTGATAATATATACTTATCGGATTCATACACTTGTTTAAAACCACATTTATTTAAAACACTACCAGAGACTAAATTTTTCCTAATTCCGGGTACATGAAGTACATCCTTGAGATCAAGGGTTTTTCTAGAACTAAACTCTAACACCACTTTTCCACGGCCTAGGATAGGGGCAGTTGACTCGTTTCCCATATGAAGTATGGATCCATCTTGAATTTTCTCATATGTAATGAACCATTCTCGATCTCTGCAAACATGTGTTGTCGCGCCCGAGTCAATCCACCATGCCACTTCATCATTCTGCACATAAAATGCCTCATAAGTTTTTGATACATAGTTCTTACTAGAATATGGTTTAAAATCAGAAATTTGACCTTGATGAGTGGATGGACCTTGGTCCTTAGACCCTTGTCCCAAACGGTTCTGTCCCGTTTTTATTCTTATCCTTTCCTGATCGTCAATCACGACTTAAGTGGCCCGGCTTGTTACAATTCCAACAAATGCTCTTAAACTTTTTGTTAGATCCATTGTAAGTGTTGTTATTAGAGGAGAATTTCCTCCAATTTTTCTTCTTAGAACTCACACCTTTCTCGATCATATTGATGGAAGAAGTACCAGCCTCATTATTTTTGGATTTTTCTCCCTCTTGCGCCCTTAGAGATTCCTCTATGCGCAAATGGCTGCCAAGTTGCACAAGAGACAATTCTTCCTTTTTGTGTTTTAACATGTGTTTAAAATATTTCCATGTAGGTGGTAACTTATCGATGATATTCGATACTGAGATGGATTCATCCATCATCATGTTGTGTTGGGAAAATTGACCTAGTATACGAAGCAATTCATTGTATTGCTCCATAACTGGCCTAGAATCAGACATCTTATAATTATTAAAATTACTAACAAGGAACTTCTTACGAGAAGCATCCTCAGCCATGTACTTTGATTCTAACGCATCTCATAACTCTTTTGCGGATTCGACATTCTAATAAACATCAAAGAGAGGATCTGACATACCGTTGAGAATATGACCACGGCATATGTAATCATCATTTTCCCATTTAAGTTGCTTCCTTGTCTCATCCAAAGACTCATTCTCAACATCCTCCGGCACAGTAGGCATAGGCATGCTTAGAACATACACTACATTCATATTTGTGAGGAGAAAATGCATTTTCTTTTTCCATCTTATAAAGTCTACTCCCTCAAATTTATCTAACTTTCCAAACTTTGATGTCATCTCTCGCACTGATACACCAGCCATAACTAACAAGAAAAATACTCTTTAAGATTGTTGGTTAATGAGGTTGTAACCCAGAAATTTGTGAATTATATACTTGGATAATGACTGCATCGCGCACGAGATCACTTTCCTTAAAGAGTATTTCGACCCTATTCCAAGCCCTTGGGTTACACAAAATCCCTTTGTAGGATAAGACAATCAAAGTCTCACTTTTGTTCTAGGCTAAGATACAAGAGAAACAAAAAGAGGTTTTAGTGTTTATATGTGTTCTTCAAAGTTCTTTGATAATCTTTGAACAATGAATCTATTTCTCTCTCTTACTAACTATTTATTTCTGATTTTTTCTATCTCATTTGCCAATGCCTACATCTCTTTATATAGAGAGTGAAAGGTTGCAATAATTAATCCAAGAGATGCAATGGTTAATACTAATGGTTGCAATGATTAATGAAGAATTGCAATTGTTAATAACAACAATTGCAATGGTTAGTAAAGAGTTACAATGATTAATCATCAAGGGTTGCAATCATAAATATGGTTAATCACCAAAGGTTGCAAATATTAATATGGTTATCACCAAAGTTTGCAATCATTAATATGGTTATTACCAAAGGTTGCAATCATCAATAGTTGCAAGTTTTTATTTATGTAGTTGCAATTGTTCATATAAACAATTGCAATGGTTCATTGCACCCTTTCACTTAAATATATATAACATCTTTCTCCTCTTATTTAAACATTTCCTCCAAGTTTGAAATTGGCTCAAGCCTCCTACAAGTATGTTGTTGCACTATATTCCATTCGAATCACATTACTTTGAGGAATATTCCAATGTAATATTATATTTTATTTTATGTTTCAACTCTAAATTTCAACGAAGATCGAAGAGACAAAGCAAGGCCCTAACAAACAAAGGGGAAGGTGACAATGGTATCATTTGGAGGTACTGTTCCTATGTTCCCTTCCAGATTTAATTTATTTGTTTGATATGGAATCACTTATGTCTTCATTCAATTTTATGATTTGGTTATGTGAAATTGGGACTCCAAATAGTTTGTAAATGATAGCTAATGATCTCGACAAACTTCAGTTTTTGGCATTCTGAGTCTAATACTGACTAAGCAATGACACATGTGTATTCTACTCTTTTTTATACATTGCAACAAAACACAGAAGTAATTACCAGGAGGTCTTGAGCAGGAACGATGTTCACGTTATTGTTAGTACGTGCACATTTGGGTATCAGCTTTTTCCTCACAAAATGTTTAAAAAAAAAAGACAAAGTATTTATGAAAATTTTGGTGATGCCATTTGTGTGTTTTTTTACTGCAGGTGCTAAGGAGAAGTTCTCTGGTGGATTGATATAAACTGGTTTTGGTGAAATCTATGAAGGTGCCAGTATGTTTAAGTGTCTTGGTATCTTTGTTGATTGTATTAGCATTATGTATTGATGTTTGATTATTGAATTTTAGCTGCAAGGAAACCTTCTGTCTCTGGCAACAAATACTGTCGTAAGGAAACCTTCTGTCGCTGGCTAATCACCTTCTTTTTTTTTTTTGCAGGCGTAGCTTAGAATACCTTGGTCGATGTAGTGGACGATCACACAGAAGAAACTCCTTTTTTAGTTTCGGGACGCTACTCTTTCTTCTGCATAACAGTGCATTTCAGTCTATTTGCACAAACAATATTCCCTCTCTTCAAGGTACGTTTAACCGGTCAGTATCATGAATAAATCAACATGTTTTCTTTTGAATATGAATATTATATTTTCCTATTGCTTGCCTCTTTGGTTTAATCTTTCAGGCTGTCCTGCATGGAAATCAGCTTCTGATGAACAGTTATGCCTTCCCAATCTACAACTCAGTATTATTCCTCAGCATGGACGTACAAAATCAGCTTTTTATTTATTTTCAAATCCTTAATGTTTACGCTTCATATATATCGGTTAAGATGTCTTTTAAATTTAGCATACGAGTTTTGATCATATAAGATCCATAGTCGTTTAATTTTATCGCGTTGCCAAGTCTTTTTAAATATTGTGAAGGAGCAAGCTAAGTGTCCCTCATATTATTATGCATATGGTTTGTTCGGCACTCAGTTATTTTTTGAGGATGTCAATATTTTGTATTTGGTATTGATTTGCTTGATAGGTTGTGAGTTCCCTTTTGAGACTAATACTTTTCGGTTAAAGAATTCATAAACCAAGCTGGTGTGGATTTAAATAAGTTGAAGTTAGTTACATATTTTTTTTGAAATGAAAAAATTGCCAACTTTGAACTAAAAGTGATGCAGATCTCAACTGTAAAAGTGTGAAGAACATTTTCGTTGACGATGTAGGGAAATATGTGGCATTCTTTGGAGAACCAATAGTATAATCCCAATAACAAAATGGTTCAGTTCGGTTTGAGGAAAAATAAACTTAAATAAATATTTTAATCAGGAACTATGTTAATGAATGTATTTGTCATTATATCTTCCCCCACCAATTTTCTATGTAACACACTCTATCTAAATCTAATGAGATAATTTTCTAAATTTCTATGTACATCAGTATTAAACCATGATTTCATCGCCGTTAATTTAGTTACATCAATGAACCTAATTAACTGATACAAATAAACAAAATAAAAAGTTCATTTACATATATGGTGGTTGGTACAAAGGATAGAGTCCAAAAAATTGGAACTTAAAATCTAAAGTAAAAAAAATTCAAACAAGCTGTAAATTTGATAATTGCTTACATAAATAAACATGATGAACAGTATTTAAATCATAACTAACATTTAATTAGTTTTAATTCATTTTCTCACATTATATATATAACTAGAACAATAATATCCTTTCAAAACCCTCATTTATATTTTATAATCAGCTATAATATACTCCCTCCGTTTCAAATTATATGTCATTCTAGAGTACAATTTCCGTTTCAAAATAAGTGTCGTTTTATAATTTCAATGCAAAATTTATTGATTTTAAATGTTATTCTATTTTTTCATTGGTTGAAAAGTGGTTAGGTGTATAGGTAATTGTGTTTTTATTTTGAAAAATTAATTATTTTCTTAATCTGTGTGCAAAACTATAGAATGACAATTAAATTGAAACGGAGGTAGTATTACATCTAAATTTAAATGAGAAAAAAACAAGAAAAAAAAACACGGACGTACTCAAAAACTAATATAGGCTACAAAACCATTAAAAATATATCTTACTTCAACAACTCCATAACATTATTGAAATAAAAATTACATAAAATACAAAAAGTATTACATGGGTCAACATGAGTTAACAATAAAAAAAATGATATCATATTTCATTCCTCTTCTTTAAAGTGTTACTCATGCAGCTCATTTTTAGTTTTACTATACTGTAAACATATTTTATAATATCAAAAATATATGGCAGATCCAAAATTATAAAAAAATTATTTTTTTAAAAGAAAATATGAAGACTGCATCTAAAAGATTATAAAAAATATGAAAATGTCGGTTATACTGTTGCGGATGATTTAGCTTCCTTGGCTACAATCTCGGAACTTGAGAACATGTATGTGCCCCCAGCGATGGTATGTGTGAATGAAAAAATTGATTCTCCACTTTTGGAGACTGCCCCATCTACAATAAGCAAACCTCAACGTTGGTCCCAAAGATAAGTAGCAGAATAGGAGAACTTGGTTTGGGATCAAATAAATTTGCCTCCTTGGTATCTTCGGAAGGAGAAGAAGAAGAAGAAGATCAACAAGATCAGGAATGTGACGACTCAATTGATCTTTTGACACCTTATGGAAAACGCCTACTTCGTGAAAGGCCAGTTAAACCTTCAGCAAAAGCAAAGGAGCTGCAATCACAATCCACTTCTCGGGGAAGAGGAAACCGAGGACGTGGAAACAGAGGAAGACACAGGTAGAAG